CTCATAGGCAGAGACTGTTCTCAGATGTAGCTTGCAAAATTATGCCCAACCTCCATTAGCTCAAATGCAGTGAGGGTAAGAATAAGCCAAGGTCAGTGAAGTTCCAGACAGCCAACGAGTTTCTAGTGGAAGGGCTTCATCAAGTTGGTTGAATCAAAGACGGACATGACCCTCGTTTGGATAATTGAAGCGGGGCTGCACTGGCCACGCAAAACAAGAAGTGTCAGACTGAAGCAGGAAATTTCCATCCCATAACAACATCCTCCTTCTCTAAAGGAACGTTGCATCGCAACAAAGAAAACTGGACATGAAATACTCTTCGACCCTCTTGTTATTCTCTTTCAACGGCAATCCAGCCTGGTTACGGGTTGATGAAAAATACTGGTAACAGCCATGTGTGCTCCAGCTGTACATATACTACAAAAGGAGTCTTCCTTCCTGCAAGGTCTTCACGACACGTGCTTCAGAGGAGATTCCAGACACACACTCCCATCATCAGCATGGGGAGCATCGCTGGATGAGGGGAAGGGGAAGGAGGAGAGAGGCTGGCCCGGATTTGGTGTAGCCGCTGTGATCTAGAATTCATTGGTCCCTGTGTTAGGCCCATGTTTGTCCGCTGACTTCAGTGGAGTCACTCCTGAGAGTTACAAGAGCTTCAGAGGAGAGGCAGCCCCACTCACTTCAACAAGTATCTCGCTCTGACTCAGAGGAAAAGACAGAGACCACTGATTGCATTTCCCAATTTCCAGTGAAACCCCTCTGTTGAAAAGGCCACCTCCCCACCCCACTGACCCCAGTTTACACCAGCTTCCAATCTGGCCCTGCTCACAATCATTCCGTCACTTGATGTGACCCATCCCTTTTGAAAAATCGGGGGGATACTTACAGAAACTCACCCAAGACACTGCTATAATAGGAGTCCCATTCCTTCCACACCAGGAGCTGCAGAATGTCATGGACAAGGTAGAGCAACAGGTTTTCAGTCCTCTCCAAGAAGGACATCTTCTCCTGGAGTTCTGAGGTGGCCGCTGGCACGTAAGAGGGAGGAGCCAATATCTGACCACACAGTCTCTCAAACGCAAAGCCCGGGGAAAACCTCAGGGTGAAGATGAACGGCACCTGCAGCAGCTCCGCCAGCAGCTCCCCACAGGGAAGCACTGGATCTGAGAGGAGCACGTCGTAGTGGGACAACCGCAGCTTTTCCAGCAGCTGCCTGTTTTTGACTGCCCCGTTGCAGATGTCCCTCTGCATGCGAGAGACGCTCCGCGAGAGGCTCCTCATCGTGTTGTGCATTTCCCAGAAGGAAACCCGAGCTCTCTCATAGACCCAGAACTGCAGGAATTTATCCCACAGCGACCGCAGCCCGTCAGAGGTAAATCCGACCTCGATGGGTTCGAAATGAAGAGCGGACGTCGAACCCGGGCGGGCAGAAAGGGATGCAGAGTGGACCAGCACCGTAACGTTATGCCCCATGCTTGCCAGTTCCTCCGTCACCACTTTCAGATTCATCCAGTGGCTGTAATCTGCAGGCCACACTAGCAGCTTCCCAGAGAGCACGTTCCCCATCAGCAGGGAGAGGCAAAGAAATATCCGGCGGGTGCTCTGCACACGTACCATTGCTGCAGCCGCTGCGGCTCAGCAAACAACCGCTCTGTTTGCCGCAGAAGAGTCATCAAAAGAAATCAGGCTGTCAGTAGGAAACCTCCCCGATTTATGAAAGAGCTGGAAAACCTGGATGGGAATTCTACACAGCCAGGAATGGCTCAAACTTTGCAGCTCTCCCCAGCAGGGGGTAGAGGCCGTGAATTTGCTGTTCTATGTGATGCTAAAACAAGAGAGAAGATTTTCCAGGGCACAACTGGGAGTTCAGCACTCACTGACTTGTCATCCAAGCCCAGATTTATAACAGGATGTTCAGTGCCTAATGAGACAAACAGCTGCTTAGCAGTTTTCAGACAAGTAGGGTTGCCAGGTGTCAGGTTTGGAACCGGACAGTCCGGTATTTGAGCTTTCTGTTCAGGAAGCAAATTGAGAAAATTCCAGACATAAATGTCCAGTATTTTCTAATTACGTTTTATTATTATCACGAGTATCAGTATGTATTTGCGTACCACCTGGCTGGTAGAGGTGCTCACACTGCGCGAGCCACACTGCGCGAGCATGTCTACCGGCCAGGCAGTACGCAGCTACACAGTAGGGAGGAGAGGGGGCGGGGCAGCACTCGCCTGTGGGTCCCACCGGCCCCGTGCATGGGACAGGCAGCACCCTGGGATCTGTGTGTGCCCAAGCCAGCCCTGTTCCCCACTGGCCAGTTTCCCCCCTCTGACCTCCCCCACCAGCCCTGCTCCCCCAGCCCCTCCTGGCCAGCCCCACTCTCCGCCGGCTGGTTCCCCCCCCCCCCAACCCTCCCCAGCCAGCCCTGCTTCCCGCCAGATGGTTCCCCCTCCCCGATCTCCCCCAGCCATCCCCGCTCCCCCCAATCTCCTCCCAGCCAGCCCTGCTCCCCTCCTGACCTGTCTCCCCCCTCCCCCCGATCTGAGATCAAGCGTGGGTCCTCCCCCCCCCCCGATCTCCCCTAGCCAGCCCCACTCCCCTCCTGGCTGGTCTCCCTCCTTCCCCCAGATCTGAGCTCAAGTGTGTCTGGTATTTTTTGAAAACATCTGGTAACCCTACAGACAAGTGCCTAACTCCCCTTAGCTTTACAGGGAGTTAGGCACCTAGCTGGCTTAGAATGAAACCATTCAAATGCAATACTGCTTGACCCGTCCCCCCCAACACGCACACAGAGATGGAAAAATGGTTTGAAGAACTTGCCTCCGGCATCCCCTGCTATCAAGGCCGTCTTTCAGATGGTCCGATGTGTCTGCAGCTTGGGATCCTTCTGGACTCCTCGGTGTTACTAGCTGGCCCACACCTGTCTGCTCATGAAAACCACACACACACACGCAGCAACCAAAGGCTCTGCAGGCAGCTGCTTCTCACAGGACTGGGTTGGCTGACTGGGGCCTGCGGTAGACACTGCCCTTGTTCTCCACTCCAACTTCAAACTCTGCCCTTGGCTGACATTTGAGAACAAGCCACAGGCCCATTGCTACTATCTGGCTCCGATAAATGCGTCCCCTCGGTTTAGCTAACGTGCCTTGAGTAGCACAAGTAGTTCAGAAAAGGCGCTAGCTTTTCACAAGGGCCCTCTCCTCGAACCCTCGTGGCCTTGGATGTGGGAGCAAGGGGGAACCTGCCCCTCCAACACTGGGTCTGAGCACCTTTCCCTGCTTCCCATGTGAGCTAGGATCTGCAGGCCCCTGCCCCCTTGGAGCAGGGAGAGCAGAGCTCTCCCCCAACCCCTGGGATCAGACTCTGTACAATGGGAATAACGGTACTTCCTCACCTCCCAGGGGATAACTCCGGTACAGATGGGGAGATGCTCAGATCCCATAACGCAGGACAAATACAGACCTGAAACAGAACTACACAAGATCCCATGCAAGGAGGTGTTTGGTATAAGAGCTGGGTGCTCCTCTGTATGCCACTAGGGGACAGTCGCGTACCACAGGCTGGATTTGAAACTGCAGCTTGTTCCTGGCAACCCATTTTCTCTGCACTTACGAAAACGTTTAAGTCCTTTTCACTATGAGAGAAAAATAGCTTCTAAGCTCCTGCCCGGCCATGTTTCTCATGGTTTGCCAAGTTGCATTGTAATTGTTCATTCTTAGTGTCTTTCATTGCAGCTTACGTGTACTGTTTGGAACATTCCTTCCTTTTTCATTCTCTCTGCCCTTTGTTCCCACACAAAAGGAGACAGCAATTGTAACAGAATATCTATGGGAATCCAAGTCACCTGCCAAGATCACGCTATGACAATTAAGGTTCATTTTCTTGAAGCATAAAGGGCTCAGGTGCTCAGTGAGTTGCTGGAGTCAAAGAGAGAGTTCAAGGCGCAGTTCACATTTCAAACCTCATACAACCTCATTCACTGATCACACGCAATGAATATTTACGTAAACTATCATTGTTACCAGGCAGAATCGCTCCACTGACAATTTGGAACAAAGGTCCAATGTGAAATGAAATCACAGCTCCCCCTGTGTGTATTTCCAGATGCAGTGTAGGAAAGCATCATTTGTTTCGAGAAGAGAGGCTTGGTTTTAATGAGCCGGTGTGTTGTCAGCATGGGCTTTGGTCACAAAGCCATGCTGGATTTCAGTGTACCTGCAGAGAACCTCTGAATTTTCCTCACTGCCATGGCCAACCTGCCATGCTGGGGAGGAACGGCTGAGAGCATTTTGCCTGCAGGCTTTCTTCCACAATTGATTTGTAGCATGGCCACAGAGAAAACTTGAAAGCCGTTTTCTCTATATTCATAAATTTAAAGCCAGAAGGGAGACTTAGACCCTCTAGTCTGATCTTCTGTGTAAGATAAACTTAAAAACGAAAAACAGGTCTGGTAGCACTTTATAAACTAACAAAACATGTAGATGGTATCATGGGCACAGCCCATTTCTTTAGATGACTGGAGTGCTGAGTTTAGGATGTGCAGACCCAAAATAAATAAGGGAGAAGGGGGAAGAAAAAAAAGGAGACGGGGTGGGAAACAAGGAGCAGAAGTTATGAAAAAATCAAATGGAAAAACAGAAATGCAGAAGGATCATCAGTAAGCACCTGAAGTTAAAACGAAGCAGGTAAGGATCAAAGTCAATAGAGAGTTTTTGTTTTTTAAGTTTATCTTGTACAGACTAACTCGGCCACCGCCCCCCCTTCCCCCCCCGCTCCCTCCGCAGCTTCTGTGTAAGGCAAGCCAAAGATTTTCACCCAATTAGCCCTGCATCACAGAAGAACAGTCCTAAGTTAACATACCTGCCCTGAGGGGAAAACTGAGTCATGTTGGAGCTACCTAATAAGAAACCTGTTCAATATAGAGCAGCTATTGCAGTTTAGAACATGTGGCAGAAGCCAATAATTTAAAAAATTGTAATTAGAGAATATGAAAGTTAAATGCTTACCTAGAATTTCACTGTAGTACAAATCCCATTCTCCCCAATAACTCTGAAAAACGTAGTCCTGGAGGCGGTAAGACACTATGTTTTTTATTCTTTCGCGGAACGACAACTTGTCTGTGAGTTCAGACAAGGCTGCAGGCACGTACGAAGGTGGAGCGGGCATCTTCCCACAATGCCGCTCCACAGTCGAGGCTGGTGTGAACCGCAGAGAGTACATAAATGGAATTCTGAGCTTGAGAGCAATTAGGTCACCACAGACACACACCGGATCAGCCAGAAGCACGTCATACTTGCCCCTCTGTAGCCGAACCATCAAATCCTGGTTGGCTAACACGCCATCACATGCCTGTCTATTTAGCTCATTGCTAGTCCTGGTCAGTTTTCCCATTTCCTTGTAGAACTTCCAGAAGGTCAGTGCTGTTGGCTTATTATACAGCCACAAGTTCACTATGTCTTTGATCAAGGAGTCAATGTGTTTCTTCCCAAAAGGCACAGAGAACACCTCAAACTTCTCTGCTGTCTCACCATGCGGTGTGATGAAGAGGGAAGAGTTTGACACCAGGACGGTGACATTGTGCTCTCGGCGTATCAGTTCCTGTATAATAATCTTAATATTTAGCCAGTGACTGCCTTCTGAAGGCCAAATCAGCACATTCCCACAGAAGACTGTTCCTAGCAGAATGAGCTGAAGGGCTAGAAATTGGATGTGCTTCTTTGACACACGGGTTCTGGTTGTGGTGGAAGCCATTTTCGGCTGGGTGCCTAGACAGGAATAGATTTTTCACTCTCAGTCTCTCTTAATGATGCAGAATAGCCACTTGCCCAATACTCCAAACAACACACACACCTGCTCCAGAAGAGATGTTTCTGATGAAGTGGGTCTTTGCCCAAGAAGGCTCATGCCCTAATAAATTGCTACGTCTTGAAGGTGCCTCAGGACTCCTCGTGGTTTTTCCAAACCTATGTTGTGACGGATACACGTGGAACACAAGTGCAGTTTATGTCTCTGCATTAATAAGACAGAAAGTGTTACAACATTTCTTGCTGGACTCATCACTTTCCACTTGTGTTTTATCATTAGTTTCAATGGAGAAGAAAGAGGGCCAGAGGAAATCCTACGCTTCAGTGAAGTCTTCAACAATAGGCCTTCATAAGGGCCTTAAGCGGGACATGAACCTTGTGTTGCTCCCTCTGCACAGGGGTGAATTTGGGTTTTTGGTTATTTATGTGTTTACGTCACTCAGGGCTGAGGAGAGACTGACCAGGCTGGTGGCAAGGTGACGGGCCGTGGCTCCATGCCTCAAACGGGGCGGGACCTTGGGTGAAAGGGGCGGAGCTGGGAGCCAGCCTCCCAAACAAGCTCTTCATGGCTGCCCATAGCATGCCACCTGGGGCTCCAGTGGCAATTTAAAGGGCTGGGGCTCCAGATACAACATTGCGCCAGGATTAGGAGCACCTTCTCCCCCCATTGCCATGACCCCTCACCCTGCAACATCAACAGGCCTGATGTTACTTACTATAGCAGCCTTGCTTTACGTTTAGCACTGGTTTTTCTTTTGGTCTAAATATTTCTCCTTTTTCCCTTTTTTAAAAAATAGATGTGCTGGCACTCACTTGTGTTCATCTGCCTGTGTCAGAATTCTGGTTTTTGCTACCCTGCCAGTTTGCCCAGTAGTAAAATTAAACTTCCTGGCAGGGAATTGCCAACACAGCTTCTGTGGTCTTCTTAACAAATAGGCGTTACCTTAACTCCACTCCCGTTATCTAGTAGAGAGGCTATTTAACAAAGTTTTCTGACTGTCTCGCCCTTCTCAGCCTCAATAAACACCTGTGAATATTGGTCACTCAATACCCATCCAGCATAGCTCGTCATTCGTACAGGGCAACATTGGAAACACAGGCACTGCAAGGTCAACCCCATATTTTCTACCTAGGTACCTCAATAATTATCCTCTAATAGAAATTGTGGATACTCAGCCCTTCTGAAAAATCAGGCCAGTTATTTAGACGCCTAACTGTGAATGTAGAAGCCCAACTTTATGACCCCAATTTTTAAAATTTGGGCCTTTCATACTCAGACTTTAACTGACAAGATTTCCCAACCTCATGTGTGTAACAGAAATGAAGGTGGTGTCCTCGAACATCCCAGTATATCCCAAGTCAAAATAATTTACCAGCATAATAAGAATTCACACTTAGTTCTTATAAACAGCAGGCAGTTTTTCAAATGTTACTAATCAGGTAGACAAATGCAGCTCACAAGTAGTCCAATGCAATTTACCACCCTGCTTTGTAACAATAACTCTTCTGCCATGGTCTGATTTTCCACTTACTAATTTTAAAATTATGCAATGGCTAGTCTGGAATACCTCCCACTGTGGGCACTGTTCCCGAATAAATGTCACTATATTCTAGAATAATCCGTGCACTCACAAAGCGCCCTGATAATTCCAAAGAAATATGATTTTTAGTCCAGAAGACACTGCCCAAACTGGGAGCTAGTCTGGTCATTATCCCCATGTAAACAAGCCCTAAGAGTTGATGTATACATATGTACCAGAGGGCAGGCTTGTTGGCCCCCTATCCTGCAACTGGTTCCTCTTAGGCAGATTCCTGCAGTTGCAAGGTCCGGGCTTTGGTTTCCCTGTGAGCATCTCAAGATAATGATCTAGTGAGAAACTGCTATAAAATTATATCACCACACAAACAAAATATGGAAGTGCCTTGAAGAAAACTGCAGAAACCCCCCCTGCAATAATCTTTTAGCCAATGGAACATCCAGATATATATTTAAACTAGCTTCTCGTGAAGAGAAAAAACCCACTTTGCTACCAAACATGTTATATAAGCAACTACGCATGCGGTCCTATTGCTACTCACCTCATCTCTCTCTAACAGGTTCTGGCAGCACTTGTGTGCTGGGCAGAAATACAAAGAGCTTACCTTGAATAGGGCTCCTTAACAGGTACAGCAAGGGCGGTAAAGAATTATGTTCATCTTCCGTGAGAAGTATTCTGTGCAATCAATTCTCACTGTGTCATGTACCAGTTACTAAAGACTAAAGATTATCTACAGATCTGTAATATGAGATGGGAAACCAGCAATGGCATCTTCCAAAAGCCAAAAGAGGGCCAGATATAAGTATGATATAAGAGGTTGCAAGTCAAAACAGACAAATTAAAGGAAGTGGCTACATTAAAATAAAAGATGCCAGCTAATCCTACTCCACTAAGAAACTTGCTACAGGCAAATTCTTACCCTAAGCAGTTGATGTAAACCTCTCTCACAGCTGAAGCAGCCTCATGCTTTCACAATCCTTGCCCCACTCACTTTTAAATGTTTCCAGCAGGCATCTTAGATGGTAGAGGGGACTCCTGGCAAAGTTGGGAGAACCGCCAGCCTCCCCTGCAGCCTACCCCTCTCAGGGACTAAGCAGGGACCTTACCTCCCCCCAGACTTAAACATCTCTGTTTAGACATCTCTCCCAGATGTAAACATGTCTCTTTCCAGGTGCTTTTTTTTTTCTCTCCCTCCCCCCCCCCACCTCTTTCCTTTCCTCTCTCCATCCCTCTCCCTCCTCTCTCTCTCTCTCCTCCTCCTCTTCTCCCCCCCCCCCCCACACACACTTCTAGCACCACCAAATTTGGCAGGCAGCTTCCTCTTACCCTACTGTACACCAAGGTCTGGGTGTGGTTGTGCCTAGAAAGTGGGAAGTGTGGAAATGGGGCTGCGTTGGACAACATGGAAAGGGAGGGGGCAGAGAGCGGAGTGTTGCAACAGGGAGGGGCACAGAGGGGAGGGACACCCTACTGAGAGTGGCAACCGGGGCAGCTACAGCACAAAGCGAGTGGCCAGCAGCGCTGGGGTTCCACCATCCTGCCTGCCACCAGATTGGGTACAGACCGAGAGCTTGGCCCCGCCTGGGCAGAGCCTGCAGGACACAGGAGGGACCCGTTGGAGAAGGGACCTGGCCCCTCCCCAGACATTCTGCAGGCTGCGGGTGGTGCTGAAGGCCAGGAGCAGTCCCCAGAGCCTCCCCACCCCAAGACAGCTTGTAAGCTACGGGGGGCCTCTGGAGATAGGTAGCTTGAGGAGGCACTTCCCCAGACAACCCGTAGGCTGCAGTGGGGCTGCTGGAGGGCAGGGCCTGCCTACAGAGCTCTGCCCCCCATCCCCATCAGGATGCAGGACAGGGTGGACACTGCCCCAAACAAGCCCCCTCCCCCTGAGCAGCTGTGGGCCAGGGGCTGCCCACCCCCGCAGGCTGCAGGCCGGGGTTTCGTTCTCTAGACAGACACATCCGAGGTAGGACTGGGAGCTGTGCTATCACAAACGGTCAGAGATCAGGACACCCTGTCCTCTAACTTAGTAGGAAACATCTCCCAAGAGAGCAGAGACCGTCAGTGGTTGGGAGGGAATGCCTCGTGGTTTGACGGGTTATGGGAACACCGCGTTCCTGCCTACAGGGCTGACAATATAGCCTCATGACTGATGATGCACCCCTCCAGGAGATACAGGGGAACAAAGAGAAGACTGCATGGGTGCAGACTTTCCAGTTTACCACGCTGCACCCGGCCAGAAGACACCACACCCAAGGCTGTGTAGCTGGTCTGTTGTGGGTGCTTTGCCTGATCACCCAAGTCGGCTACCCCCATAGTGTTGAGAAAAGTGGAAGGATATAGGACAGGCTCAGGCCGTACAGATACAGGAGTTACTGTTTTCAGATGCTAAAAATAAACATCATTGCAGCTTATATGCATGGGTTGCCTCATTCCTTCCCTTCTCAATCTCTCGGTCCTTTCTTCCCATACAAGAGCAGACAGCTATTGTAACGGAATAGCTACGGGAAGCCAAGTCATCTGCCGTGATCACGAGATGCCAATAAAGGTTCATTTTCCTGAAGCATTAAGGGCTCAACCCTGCAAGATGCTGAGAGCCTCAGCAAGTGGCTGGAATCAGAGGGAGTTCAAGGCACAGTTCACATTTCAAACCATTCACTTGTCATGTCAATGAATATGTAAGGAAACTATCATGGCTACGAGGCAGAATAGCTCCACTGACAATTTGGAACAAAGGTCCAATGTGAAACGCAATCACAGATTCCCCTAGGCGTATTTCCAGAAGCAATGTAGGAAAGCACCATTTGTTTCGAGACGAGAGGCTTGGGTTTAATTAGCCTGTGATGTCAGTATGGGCTTTGATCACACAGCCATGCTGGATTTCAGTGTACCTGCTGAGATGCTCGAATTTTCCTTACTGGTGCGGCCAACCTGCCATGCTGGGGAGGAACAGCAGAGAGCTTTGCACCCTTTCATTCACAACTGGTTTCTAATAAATAAAATAGTAATTTTCTCAATTCACCTCCTGCAAAACCTGTAGTGAAATGTCTTTATCATGAAAGCGCAACTTACAAATGTAGAATTTTTTTTTACAGAACTGCTTTCCAAATCAAAACATTCCACACCTACAAATCCACTCAGCCCTATTTCTTGTTTAGCCAATGAGTAAGACAAACAAGTTTTTACATTTACGGGACATAAGGCTGCCCACTTTCTATTTCCAATGTGACCTAAAAGAGAGAACAGGCATGTGGATGCACTTTTGTAGCCAGCATTACAAGGTATTTCCATGTCAGGTATGCTAAATATTTGTATGCCCCATTATGCTTCCACCGCCAATACAGAAGAGGTGCTTCTAATCTGATGATGCTCATTACAAAAAATGCATTAATTAAATATATGATTGACCTTCTCGGGGAGAATTGTTTGCCTCCTGCTCGGTTTTACCCTCATTATGACATATTTCATATTATAATAGTCATAAGAACATTAGAACGGCCAGACTAGGTCAGACCAAAGGTCCATCTAGCCCAGTATCCTGTCTGCCGACAGTGGCCAATGCCAGGTGCCCCAGAGGGAGTGAATTGAACAGGTAATGATCAAGCGATCTCTCTCCTGCCATCCATCTCCACCCTCTAACAAACAGAGGTTGGGGACACCATTCCTTACCCATACTGGCTAAGTAATAGCTGTGGAGGCAGGAAAAGGGAATAAGGGAATTTGTGTGCAGCCATCTTGGTCTTGTTAACAAGAGAGCAAGAGTCAGGCTAAGTCTGTGGCCTGACAACGCGAGATCTGTAATTAGACGCTGACTTTGCCTCTCGCCTCTATACAGAGATAAGGATAGAATGCTGACTCTGGTAGGGACCTTGAGATAAGGAGCATCTGGGTGGAACTAAAACAACTGTTAGCCATTGGTGTTTGTAATGGGAAGGAGACTAATTGTTATTATATCTAATAGACAGTATATAAACTGCTTCATAATTGCTTGTATTGGAGGATCTGCCTTGGAGAGGGGAGGATCCCCCACTCCCCTTCTCCCCCCCCCCCCCGCCCAAACCATTTTTTCCC